GCACCCCTCCCCCACCGCATTGCGACCATATCAGCTGAATACGTATCGATTGGAGAATCCAAAAAATCAGCAAGCAATACTGGGTGGTCGATTGACTCCGCTTACGGAGCGAGTGGGAAAACTGGGCACCCGGGCGATTCTATCGTCGGCAAGTCAGGCGACGCCGCACACGCCGCGCCGCGTCGCTGCGCGGCACGCCGCGACGCGGCAATCCCGGAGTTGCATTACCGTACTCCCGAGTTGTCATTGGAGCAAAGGATTAGACTCTTTCAAATTGTTAAAGGGATCGTCGACCCTTTAACAATTTGAACGCCACGCAACAAAACTCGTACGCGGCGGCCGCCACGCCGCCTCGCTCCGCCCACCGGCGCGACGACCCGACGATAGAATCACCACACACCCGAAAAACTGTGAACAGGAAGTTAATCAATGTTACGGTCTTTTCGCTGCGGATGATGGAAAGTGTCAAAAGGGACGCAGCTCCAAGTCTTTTCCTTTTTTCTTATGGAGCGCAACAGGTCCATACCATAACGTTCGTATAAGTCCTTTTCCATCAATTATTATCGCCTAGTCGCTTCAGCGAGTGGTGGAGAACGGGCTGCCGGCGCGTCGAACCCGCCCCCATTCGCCCTAGACAGGACTATACCTTTTCTTTTCACAGATCCTGTTCCAGATTGATACGTAGACTGTCTTATTCTTCGGTAGTTTTCTCAATTCTGTTACTGTCCGTTTCGGGAGTTTCGCAATATATCAACGCGGCTTTACTGAACAACCGAATTCAAAACGTGATCTTATTCAGGCAATGATTCGCTTTCCCTCGAGCGCCGTTGTCGCCGCCATTCGGGCTGTTCCAGCTGCATGTGATACAAGAAAAACTGTCGTGGTGCTTGCCGACAAAGCTATATTTTCGATTGCTTTCGGTTTGTCAGATGTGGTGTCATGACAATCTACCTTACGCTGGTGGTAATGAACTTGTACATGTACTTATAACCATCTAGATTTAACTAGCTGGTTTTATGCTCTCTTTTCTACTCGGGTGATTGCGGTAACAAGTAGTATGAGAGGTGGATTTGATGGTTCCTTGAAGACAGATACCGCCATTAGTCGGTGGCTAGAATCCTTTTCTTGTCGAAGGCGTCTAATGCGCAGTCTCAGAGGCTGTGTCACTTTCGCGGCTTCACAATCAGTGCCGTTTACGTTGCTTCCCAGGTCGTCCTCTTGATCTCTTGTCATCTGGTTTCTCAGTTAAGCAGCAGTATTTCGCTCCTTCAAATACTCGTTTAAAGCTACCGCCATACTTAAGGCGTCGTTGATTCACTTTTTTCAAGGTAGGCCAACTAACATCTGCGATCTCATGTCATGTCGGGCCCTCAAGTTTACAAATTGTACATTCCACGACTGCAGTTCCTGAATGACGGGTTCGTTTATGAATTTGTAAGTGCTAGTTGTCTTGTTGGTGAAGAAGAAAGCAGAAGAACTCAGCACGGCCCATAAAGGATCCTGCAACTTACGACGAGCATTTAGTCAATAGAGACGAAGGGCGCTGGGCTCGGGCGAAAATGCACAGCCACCCTAGCAAGGAAGCTGAACATCTCGATGTTTTGGGCGGGGTCAGACCAAGATAGGTGTGGTCAGGGTCACGTCATGATCCCCTGGCGTTCTTACCAAACACTTCCAAAGTGCGAAGTGATACACTTTGTGTGACTGCGGACTTGCTTAGTATCCGCGAAAAGGATTCTACCTAATCAGGCAATCGGGTATGTGTCCACAACAGCCTTCAGAGATGTTTGGGATGAGTGTTCGCGTAGAGTATAGCCAGACCTCTTAACATCAGCTTTTCTTTGTGCTCAAGGATGATTGTGTTGTGTTTTCGAAAGAAGGGAAGTTCGACTAATTCTGCTACTAACTGTGTAGGCGATTTTGTAAAAAGTAAAGGATCTCAAGATTTCTCATAAGTTTTCTCGTCTACAGCTTCAGCTTTGTTGATCTTCTCGAGTAATTGGCTAGTATTGCCTTCAATTCATGTGCATTATAGTGTAACATTCCTAATGAGATCTGTATTATAGATAAAGTTAAAGCTTTTTATGCATATGTGACTATCTCATGGATCAGGTTTGAGTCGGCCTGAGCATCATAGCGGTTTCACGTGGATGGATGATGTAGTCGTAGCCATCGATAATCCAAAACATACCTAAAACAAGGAATTTCCAAGTTTTCGAGGCAATGGGAAGGTGCTGGCGGCATTCCTGCACCATATCTCAGTGAGAGGGCGCAGACGATCATGAAAGAGACGGCTTGTTAGGTGCACGGATATCTTGAGCTCAATCCCTTTAGTCGCGTCAGTCTACTGTTTTTCTCCACGCTTAGGTCTGCATCACATTCTTCCATTTCCGTTTCTCTGCACTGACCTTTCGGGTATGTGGCAAGAGAATCGTAATACGCCGCGCCTAGTAGGCGTCGCGTGCGACGTCGCGCCCGCTAATGACGACGATTTCAGGTGGCATTGGTCAGAATACAATGTATGACCAAAAATAGACATAAGTGTCCACCATGTCCTTGTCTACATGAAATCCGATGCTCCAGTCGAAAGGGTAGTGCAAATTAAGGAAACGTCGCGCCCATTGCCGCGCGCGACGAAGCGGCAATTTACGGTTCTCTTGCCCGTCTTCCTGACCTTTCGCGCCCAGACCCCCACCAAAAGTTCTAGTTGTCACGTAACCGGCATAGTGTCGCTACTCACAGCCTCGCTCTACTGACCATCAGAGTCGATCCTTAAAACTGCTGCAGTTTTTTTTTTCGTCCGCACCCTATATAGCGCTCTGTTACCACTCACAAACTGGTTATATGATTAGTGGCTTACTCACCCCAGACCGCTTTGGAATGCTTATCACGGGGCTTATCACATGGTTTTTGATTCATCCAGGCAACCCCTTGCTTGCGCTCAAGTTTCTTGCTGCAGAGAATTAAAGCGGCTGCCGAATTCACAGCCCCCTATTCAAGGGATCGATTACCGACCAGGCGACGAAAGGTATGGTGTAAACTTCGTCAACAGACCTGATTTGAAAAAATGTGTCAAGGGGCAAGAAGCAGGCGTGAAATAATACTTACCGTATCCATTTGAGTAGTCTTCTATATCATAGGCTCCGTTCAGAGTCGACAACGCGCAGTGATATACCACGCAATCGCTCTGGGCAACTGTGACTAGTATTAAGTTCCTGCCCGCTGTTATTGCAGTCTTGTTCGCTGCTGATGCTGGGGCGTGTCAGGTTTGCTAAGACTGGCGCGGCGCCAAACCGTTCTTCACCAATTGTTGAAGCAAGCAAGCGATAGAATCGGGTTAAAAAGTGGGTGCCGCCACACAAACATACGCACATTTGAATGCTCTGCCATCCGCAGTGAAGAAGACTGTAGGCTATCCGAAGAAATAGTGCAGGTTTTTCACTTCTATCTTCAAAATGGAGTAGCTCCGCATTGAGTCAATCTTTTCGATCAAAAACTAAAAAAACAAGAATTAAGAAGTTAAAGCTACTGCGTGCTAGAAAATAGTTACTGTTACGTATTATCGTTTTTTTTGTGACACTATAAAGGCTCAGTCCCACGGTGACAGTGGGTAAGAGTAGGGTCTCCGCGGCGATTTCAATGAAACCCCCTGTTTCTGAACTGTCTACGTCACCCTCCCTCCGCCAAGGTCAACTTGGACTGTGCTTAAATCGAAATTTTCCACTGACCCCATCTGATACTTTGTGACGCAGTTTTTTACCGGATCGTTGATCTTGTTCAATAGTGAGAATGGCGGCTCCACGGAACTGGTTTATCGTAGCGAAGCGTATCGATAGATTCTATGACTAGTCATTCGGACTTGGGGTGTTGCCCCAATATGTTACTTACTCCACCATTCGGCAGTGGATGCATTGCCGGCTGTATGTTGTGACCAGTGCGAATGCAAAGAGGCTTTTGAGCATATAGGTTGCTGCTTCAGGTTCCCACCTAGAAAATGTTGTCGTGTTTTAAACTGTAAAGCTTCAGGTCCAACCTAAAAAGTTGTCGGTGTGCTAAAGTATTCATCGTTGATTCAGAAGCTCAATTCTAAAATGCGCCGTGCTTCCTATTTGCATCATAATCGTAGTGGTTTCTGATTGGGTTATGTGACAACATAATCGTAATGTGTCGCGCTGGTGGGCGTGGCGAGCGACGCCGCGCTCGATGCACGAGTTGCCTTGTGTGACCGTTTTGAATCAAATGTTAAAAGAACGACAAAACTCGATACCTCCCGTGAAAGAGAACTTCTTGCTGAGATGATCGGATTGTTTCTATAAGTGATACCGCTTACTTGGAACAAGGTGTAGTGATTCCACCAGAATGCGTTTGGCTCTGGCGCAGAAGGTGTTCGGTCGCCTCTCATCTCTACCCTTAAAGTCACATCGGCGTCTTTCGTGGTGAGCTGATGGAGAAGTTCGTTGCCGGACCAGTAGTTGGAGTTCTGTCTAGTAGAACATTATCGCGGATAAATGCATGGATAAAAGTATTCATTGCTACTCACCGGCCCCATGGCGCCGAACCCATTTTTGTACTCATCCCACGTATGATTCCAAAATGGATCACTGCCGTTCACTCTCCTGCAATTTGAACGTTGGGAGGCCCCAAATTCAACAACCCGTGAGCTAATTCAAAATTGTACTCTATTTCTAGTCATTTATAGGCAGTATGACGTTCATAAGTCTCCCATGTCTCAGGAGGAATAACGAAAGGCGTGTTCCACGCTCACTGTGTGGGCGTGGTCAGACCTGTCATCTTACCTCACCTTGCACCCTTCCTTTCAAAGATGGTATGGAAAGCGCGTCAATCAGCGGCGCAATGATCGAACTGCTTGGTCAACATGTGCACAATCTGTCTTTAAGCTCGCGGTTGAGCCCTCGGGAGCTGACCCTCCTCTTTCTGTCGGGATGGGGCAATCTCCAGGCAATCCCGGCTAGCTGACCGGTGACAATTACCATATGAAGCTTTAAGGAACATATAGTCTTGTTCGCTGTGATGCTGAGACGTGCTAAGGGGCTAGGTTTGGCGCGCGCCAGCCCTTTCCCCAGCAATCGTTGGAGCGGGCAAGCGACAGTTCACTTGAAGATAGAGTATACTGAACGTATTGGCAGAATCGATTCGATTAGTGCAGCTTACGCACTGTTGCGCCCTCCATACCGTATTTTGAGGGAAGGGTGCACCAATGGTGATGCACGATCATAGCCTGACCACGCCCATGCAATGAGTGTGGACTATGCCTGATACGCTGCAGCATCCGCAGCGACCAATACCAATTCTGCTTGATTTGTTTAAACAGAAAAACACCTTTGGAACACTACCCATCCTCCGCCGGCAGTATTCATGTCGCAATAGACCTTGTAAGGTTTGCTATCAAGAACAATACTGTATTCTCCATCACTGAAAATTTAAAATTATTTAAACTGAATAGAAAAAATAAACCCTTGAGATGTGTATTCCGCGCTGATCGAGTGGGCGAGGCACTTGTATAAATGTGCGGATCGGGATGCAAGAGCGCGGAATGCACTTTCAAATATCAACTTACTCTCGATATCCGGCATTATACCAGTCAGTACAATCGGTCATTGCCACACGCGTTTCACAGACAAAACATTGTTTCTGAGTGCAGTCTGCCGTACTCCAAGTACCTGGAATCTTCATTGCTGGACAGGGATAGCCCTCAGATACCTGTGTTTTAACTGTGGAGGCTGTGTAAGTCAGTTTTTTTTCTGACGGGTCTAGTACCAATTTATCGACCCCGAAAATAAGAGGTTGGTTGGCCTTTGGATTAGGAAGTGGTAAAGGAATGTGTACCCTTCCACTGAACTCTTGTGTACAAGGAAGTTTTACGCACAGTAAGCTGCAGCTGATGTAATCGCATCGGTGGGCGGTTTCAAGAGGATTGGAATGAGACGGAGCGCGGTGTCTCCACCACTTAGTATTTTTTTCCTAAACCGATCACTAGCGTTCACTTGCGTAGAGGAGAATCAGCCAGAGGCTTGCCTCTTCCCGCTTCCCCTGACCCCAACTGATTGCGACGTTATCAGCCTATAAGAAACTGCCTGGTTTTACTCGAATTGCCTATAAAAAATAGAAAAAAGAATGATGTCATACCGCTGGCAAACGACGAAGATACACATTGACCGGACGAGCTGGGCTGTCCTGAAGGGAAAATGTATATGCGTTTGAGAAGCAGGAAAAGAATTTTCGGAGCCACGGCAAGACCCACCTTGGCCCCAGTTATTAAAGTCGAACAGTGTGCCGTCTGCCCATGAGCAATTGCCTGAGCTGCACTGCCCTCCTGTCCAGTAGGAACTGCAGCCAGTGTACTCTCCAAGAGCTAAAACTAACACGTGGCGATTGCTCGGAATTAATCCTACTATACAGACCAAAAATTTATCAAGAACTAGGTTCGGTGTATTGACGACATTCGAGTCGCGAACGCCCTCACCAGATATCCTTACAGTCAGCCACTGTGCCTTTCTTCGGAAAATTCTGCCTCTTAAGGATGCAAAAAAAGAAAGAGCAGTGAGAAGAATGACATAATACTTGGTCCTGACAGTCAGCTGTTTTGAGTTCCTTCGTGGTGTGTTCTGGTGATTTTTTTTCAAGAAGGATAAAGAGGAAGAACAGTTTTGAGGGCAGCATGATCCCCCCCCCCCCGCCCATACGATTAGGATGAACTGTGTCTCCAAGAAAGGAATCTGGATGGGGTCCTGTTCTTAGGAAGAAAGATTGATCGTGTTTAGAGAACTACGTAGTGATCGCGAACAGGCTCAGCAGGCTGGTAAGGCGCTTGGGGTCGCAAATCTGGTGTGAGCTAATGTTTCAGAAAAACCCACATCTGATTGCAGAGTTGTCGAACTGATTGTGTACGGATGTGAGATGACCTCCTCGCTTTATGCAGAACGCCTCCGCATCTGACCAGCTCCTGAAAGACGCGATTTGAACACGTCGACCAGATTAAGCCCACTTTGACACCATAAGGCTCGCTGGCAAGTGGCACTGTAATAATAGTGATCGCCATTTTTGAAAAAAAAAACTAGTGGAGCAAGGGCGAAGGGATGTGGGAAGGAGACCTGTTAGGTTTCCTCCAACGTTGAGTTGATCAAAGAGGCGGGCTATGTAGTGGGAGTGCCATAAAGGCACGCTCCGTGTTCATAAATGATGAGTTGTGCGGACCAAATACTAACGACAAGGAGGCACATGATTTAGTGGTGAAGGAATATAGGAAAAAAAATCATCCGAAAAGTCTAAGAATCCCAACCGAGCTTGTACGCGTATAAGGCAAAGAGAGGGCGTGGTCGGACGAGATCTCAATTGTCGATCTCAGCTTTCTCTCCCTACCAGCTCACCCTCACCTTCAGAATGGAGATATTAAATAGCGGAACAACCGTACCACCAGAAAGTTCTTAGAAATGCCCAGTGGGCGGGCGATTTTCCTTACGTGGTTTCAAGCTGGAAAAGTAGTCCCCTGCAAATGCATTGCAAATAGGCCTACCATGCTCAAAGAAGGCGTTTGAACATCAGCCTTTATTAGGGGTGGGGGGGGTCGGCCCTGTGGTCAATAGCTCAAGGTGGGCTTCCCGTAAGGGTAGCTACTCAGAGCCCAGATCAATTAGGACAGCACAATAAGAGTTCATTTTCCTAACTGCCGCCTTTCAGATTGCTGCGCAAGCTGCTCAGCACTGGTGAAGGAGTGTCGGCACAAAAAAACGAGATGCTATCTATCTCAAAATTATAAATTCTCCTCAAAGTTAGAACACAATTTCAATCAATATTAGTTTCATGAAATTTCCAAAGATGGAATGTAGCTTACGTCGGAGTGGTCTCCATGTGAACACAGTGATCATGACTGTTCACCTCATCACCATCTGGACAATTGACATCGGAAATGACGGTGATCGCTAGGGAACCAACCCAAAACATCAACAACAACAGGCGACTTTGCATTACGAACGGACGGTGAGAGCGTGAAGACCTCCGAGCGTGACGACCCAGCGATTCTTATCGCTTTCTGTGGTAATAAAAAAGTAGTAAATTCTTTTTGTGCCTTAATGAACCTTTTTTGTCGATGAAATAATGAAGAGCCACACATCTTGAGATATAAGAAACGCGCAGTACGACTTGATGGGAGCACCTAGTGGTACCTAGCAAATCAAATTGTCCACCTTGTAAAGTTCTGTGAATTCCTGTAATCAAAGCTTCTCATTTAGACCATTCTGCAGCTTCACCGGAGTTTACGGGTCTCACGAAAGTGTAACCTGTTGATTGACGTGAACAAGAAGTTGGAACTAACGAAAATAACGAATGGTCCTCCCAAGCGAACGGCGCCCCAACAGACGCATTTGTAATTTGAATGGTCACGAAAACGAAATGCGAAATGGGGAGCAATTTGTGTTGAATCTATTAGCTCAAGCCATCTGTTATTAAGTAACCTGCTTTGTTTGTTTTATCTGCAAACTATGAAACATTTACATGGAGATAGCCCCGCTTCCCCATTATTGGGGGAAGCTTTGCAAGGTTCCACTGAAACTCATTGTTCGCATCCCAAACAAACGATATCGATATACTCAAGCGCTGGGGACCTCCCCGTGATACGCCACGCATTCCACCTTCACTTTGAATTGTAATAATCCGACAGCGGCTTACCACATACTAAAAGGATAATACAGTCTCCTTTAACCAACACCACTGGGAGAGGGGCGGCGCGCATTCCAGAAAACTTTGAGGGGGGGGGGAGAGGCGCCCGGCATCTATGCCATTAAAATTGTACTTCTATAGTAACTGCTTATTGGACTACACAATGAGTTGGAGGGGCCAATAGTGTGCACAGCAGTGTTTTTGTCCTCCTAGACGGATACGTTGCTAACTTACCCTCCCAGGACGTTTTGGAAACCTGGTCGACATGCGGGAGCACTTTCTGGGTCGTTCATAATCTTGGAGGGAGAGCGGATACTCGAGCGCAGTCTAATATATCCAGAACAACTAAGCCCTAAGAAAAACTTACATTCATACCATATAGTTCTTCCGTATCCTGGGAGGAATAGTGTCGCGCGGCTGTGGACCGTGCTACATTCCCCCGTCTTATGTGCACTGGGAACGCTCTGGAAGTCGTGACGGCCCGGATGCCTCTCATACTGGTCTCTGTATCCGCACTGCAGCCAGACTCCTAGCCCATTAATAAACGCGCCTATCTTGTCTTGCGCTCTCCCACTTCGACTGTTCTCTGCCCACTGAGCACTTTTTCCCAGGTGCATCTTGAGATAACGCGAGCCGGAGTATGAGCAGGGTCAAGCATCTCCTGCGGAAGATTGGGGGTTCGGGTACGACACCCCCCCCCTTTAAAAAGGGGTGTACGCACGACACCCCCCCCCCCCTCCCCTTAGTGACTTGACGTGAGGAGTATGAAATCAGCATGAACTGTAATGTGGTTCGGTCGGTGTGGATAATTTCACCATGTGTACTCTGAGTATCTAGGAAAAAACTACCAAAAAATGAAAAAAGACTGTCATGAATAACTATTTTTTTAGAAGTAATGCAATGCAAAGAGTGGAACTTTGACGCATTTTGAGTACTGTGGCGTCGCGTATTTTGAGATTGGCGAGTAGACCCATTCCGTATTGTTTTTTAAAGATCTTGGTGTAAGTTCTTCCGAAAACCATCTTTCACAAACAGCGGTCAAGACGGTTCAAGTTGTGTGCCAGGCTCTACCAAGAATACACTACAGAACTGGCAGCTTCTGGCCAGAAAATAACGAGGAGAATCTTCGAAACAACACGAGCTCTTCACCTTTAGACGGGATTACCTTCGTTCATAACATAACATATAAAGTTGATCCACACGGTATCAAGAACTAGAAGATTTGTTTCTTTCGAATAAAAGCCAAAGCTCTGCGTGTTAACTCGATTGCAGCGAAGTTCGCCTGTATCGTAGCTTCGAACGAGGTTCTCTTACTCAGGATGTGAAACAGGTTAGCATTGGGGCTTGTATTAACAAAATTCGCCGTGAAATATGGTCTTTACCAATACGACCCCCCCTCCCCAGAGCCATAAGTACCGCCCCCCCATGTACTTCGGCCACAAGATGCTGTGCCCTGCTCGTGTATCACTGCACCAAGCCCTATTTCGCTGCACTTTGAGCGGAGAAGGTAGCCACCCCACTGCAACTGCAGACCAGTCACCGGCACATGCATAGCCGCGTTCCGGCACCGAGCGTTTACAGTTTTCGAATTAAGTCCACGCTGTCTCTGCCGATAGCGCGCGGCTTATCTAATGCTGTTCTACTAGGCAACTCAAGGTCGTACCGGATTTCATTTGATGAGGTATTAGATTCGCTATGTTGATTCATAGAATCTTCATCATTGAAATCGAGGACCAAAACCAATTTGTTTTAAGATTACAGGAATCGGCAGCTGGCTCGAATCCAACATGACCCAACCATAGCTTTCACCAGTCTAGCGCACATTCAGAGACTGGAGACGTATCGGTTAAGTGAGTGAAATCTGATCCACAGAGTGTCAGAGCGAAGACCTCTGCGCCACCATGTATTCTCATCCCAGTAGTTACACCAGTACATTACGAAACCAACTGAGAAGGACATCTGCTTGAACTCGCTCTTATCTGCCCACACAAACGACCTGATCAAATAGCAAATGTTCCAGATATGTTCCGGCTCCAAAGCAGTTGGCATGTACGTTCTTTGCAGTTCCCTGACAATCAGCTGAACAAACTGGTGCAAGCAGTGACAAGTCCTTCTTTCTTCGCAGAACTTTCCGCGAGAAGGGATTCACGGCATGAAGCACTCTATTCGTTTATTTTATCATCTAATATTCAGGTGAGATGGCGCCAGTTCAAATCTCAGGTCGGCTCCTGCTTAGTCCAACCAAGCCTTCTACCCTCCGAGGGACGGTGAATTGGTACCAGATTCATCTGAGAGGATAAAAACACTGACTTGTATATTGGCTGGCCCCAGCAATTTATCGTGCGGGTCACATCATATCCACGACCGCATCTGAAGGGAAATATGGAATGTGACGCACTTTGAAGGGGGCTTATTAGAGGCCAAATACTTCCTTCTTCATTCCCTCACCCCAGAAACTTTGTTCACTGTGCCTAGAATACTGAACTAAATTATGATCTTTTTTTGGCTTTCTTTTCTTTCTTTCTCTTTTTGGCTTTTTTCCATGGTTTCTCTTTCCAATGCCTCTAATCTCTAGAGTCATAGTAATCCTGCCCGAGAGAAATCCGACATTGTGTCGAAAAACAGGTCAACGCCCTATTCCCCGAATCAATTTATCCTTCGGGAATGTGTCTTTCAAAAAAATTCAAATTCTCAGTGAAGTCTCCAGCGCTTTGTTTGTTGCAATTAATCTTTATAGCTGTGGCACCTCCGTCGTTACACAGCTAGCCAACCGACCAGCCAGGCGCTGGTGGTGCCGGCGGCGCCGATGACAGCGGCTGTGAGCGCCCTCAGGCACTTCATATCAACCGTTATTTTGGTGATATTACTCTCCAGAGCTCTAGCTTTTTATTTCAATTGATATTTCTTTGGATTTTTCTGCTTGTTGTTGTCTTTGAACACTTGGTTCTGGCCTATTGAGTTAGTCTGCTCAAGGGCTTGAGAGACCAGGCGCTGCTTCTTATGGCTCATCCCGAAACCGGCTGTGGGCACAGTTCGTCGAACATTACGCGCTAACAACATTGTGAAGGCATTTAAAGAACTTCTTGTCTAGAGCTAGGATGGCCGCTAAGAGGATGGCGCTTTTGTCAAGGCTCACAGTGGGAAAGAAGCGCTGGGTTAACCAATTCAAAGTAAAAATTACTCCCGGGTTGGTCCCGGGTTTTGCACTAGGTGTCCTTGAGGTGCCCTGAAGGTTGTCAGCATCGAGAATTCATATGTCCCGTCACTGAACCCGCCACAGGCTTGTGATAAAGATAAGATTGAATTCCTTTTTTTGTATGGAAACGGCAATTCAGGCACGCGTTCAGTGAAGAATCTGATGTCAGCTCGCTCTGGATAAAGCTAAGGATTTGCCGCTTGTCCTTCCGTATCCACGGCCGGAAGCAGAAGTGGTATAAGTGTTAGTTGTGAGATAGCCAGAAAGCTGCCGCTCACATAGCCAGTTCAAGGGTCAACTCTTAGATCTGCACCTACATTGGCCAAGCAACCGTTTTACCTCTCTAGGGCTCGTTATTCAATTTTAGGGGATAGAAAAGACTTAGAGAGCTAGTAGCAGGGTACAGTGTAGTTGGATCCGGAGGCAGGAGTACAGCATCGTGATGTGTGAGGTGGATGGTGTAGGTACGACTCCCCCCTTTCCTCAACCTCTACTACTATTTCCCACATTTTCGCCAGTCCCAGTTTTTCCACGCCAAATTTCCGGTTGAGGCAAGGGGGGATAGCCACATGTGAAGCGAAAAATTTCTTGAATTATCCCCAATTTCCCGACACTTTTCCCCCAATGTCGCCCGAACATTTTCCTATATTTTACAAAAAATTTTGCTGTAGAAGTCGGGAGGGGAGGGGGAGCATGAGGAGGGTAATATTAGTGCCATGGAAACAGGAAAAGATCACGCACAAAGTCACAACCGACAAACCAACGCGAAGTTCTCTCAAATGCACATACGACCCCCTCTCCCTCTCCTAAAGACCAAATACGACCCCTCCCTCCTCCAAAGAGAAGAAGTACGGACCGGCCCCTCTATTGTGGTTTCACACAACGATGCTGTACCTTGCCCATAAGATCTTTTGACGCTTCCCCTGTAGAAGATAGGTGCGCTCAGTTGGTGGCTCACAGGAGCTGATAAATGGCGGGCGCACTAGTGAAATATAAGGAGCCCAGAAGATCGGTGAAACTTTAGGCAGTTAGGCCCTTCTTCTCTGCCTGGCTGTCCGGCTGTGCAAGAGGTGCCAGTTGCGCCAACGCTGTCACTCAGCTCTTATTAAACGTT